ATTTTTATCTATTAACTATTAACACCGATTACTGCACTGTAATACAATTTTTTTTTCTTACTTAAAATACAACCTGATGAAATTCAATACATTCTTTCAAAACAATTTAAATTAATAACAACATCAACGTTTTGAACGCCATTCGTATAAATGTACAATAATAATATGTGCGCGTAGATAGTTATTATAGAAAAATAGTCCTTGGCGATTCGAAGGAAAAAAGCGGCGCTTATAAATATAGAGATATAACCGAATTTCACCGTACGCGTACACGTAGTTATTAAAATTCATGAGCGTCACATTTAATGGATCGAAATCACTATAATTTCATGAGTGATGCGCGCGTACTGATACGTGTAAGAAAAAAAAAAACATTGAAGTGTTTTTTTCTTTTAATTATATGCAAAAACGATATATATCATAGAATCTAAAAAATAATACATGCGCCGATACGTACTTACACACACACACACACACACACACACACACACACATATTTTCATGCAGAGTACTTTTGATAATCTTTTCATTTTTTTTAAATTTAAACGATTTTTACATAATTTATCAGTACGTGGTCAATATTCTACACTTTAATACACTTTTTCTTTGCAATATAAGCTATTTAACTGTAATAATAGCTTTCCATACTGGTATTTTATATGCTGCAATTTAATTGTATACGAAAACAAATAATTATATAACAAGAGAATAAAATATAAAACATGATAATTAAATAAGTAACCACACACGCGAATAAACACACACGATTGTCGAACGACTATAATTAAAATCACTCAACAGAAACTTTAATAAAATGACTTGAAAATAATTCATACAGATAAAATTAATATAATGGAAATATGAGATATGAGTGCAATGCATATTGCACTTACTCGTAGTTTGTAACATCCACATGTTTTCGCTCATATTATTGTTCACTTATTTGGTTTTCGTACTTTTGCTTTCACTCGTATGCATTCGCTCTTCTGACGTAGAACCATGTGTTTGATCTCGGAAGTTCAACGACAGTCTACGATTCGTAATTATATTCTTAAATCCATAAACGTTATCGGATAGTGTAATTAATCACCATTTCTATCGATTTGGTAAGTACACCATATATTATTATCATACCGTGGTCGCGGTATACGAATTCGTATATCTGTATATCGCGCTGCGTTCGGATGTATTATGTAAAATACCGAAACGCATACCAGTGACGAGCCACACGTCAGACCTGTCCGCAATTACTATACAACAGTATTCTAATGACCAGACGTTACATAGTTGGTGCACTAATCGTAATGATCAACAATAATAACGCAATCAAAAATACGTTTCCCCAAACTCGATATGATTGACCTCGCACGACATACTCGAAGTTCGCAAGCTTTTAAACAGGTATAGAAATCAATTGATCTCTGAATCTTATAGCTGGTGGCGATCCTATTACAATTTAATACACAGGGAATGATCCACAGGTAGAGCAATGTCGGCCAGGTTATTTCAAGAGGCCACTTATTAGGACTGAAATTGGATTATAAATGTATACCTTGTAACAAAAGAACACAATAGGACCATATAATATGTGTTTTTTTAGTTTATTCTTAATTGTATCATTGAAAACATTAATATTTATCTTATTTTGGAGAATCCCGTTTTACGTGGGGTCCGGCATATAAATGTTTTACTGTACTATACAATTAAACTAGTTGCGTGATTTAGAGAGTGATAAATGGAAAATTTGTCCTAGTCTAATATTAACTTTAACCCCTCGGCACATTAAAAAATATTAGAAGTCTTCAAGAGGCCAATTTTGTCAACAGACATTAACTGTGGGTCAGCTATTCTTCTGAAAACCCATCCCCTTTTAATACGCTCCTTGTAATACTAGCATAGTTATTCAAACATAGTTATTATTTAAGTTTCACTCTCCCCGGGAATCATTGCTAACATTGGGTCACGTTTGCTAACGCGAGAGCAGATTATAATAAAATTTTTTTACTTTCGTTGCGAAACATATTTCACGATAACGTAATGCAGATCTCTATTTGCCAACCAAATTCTGCACGTTAACTAAAATACACGTCATTATATTGAACACATAAGTAAAGCCGTAATCGAACACCACGCAAGACATTGATATAGGTTAGATACTGGTTGCAACAGAAGCAAATGCGATAAACGATTTATAAATAAACTGATGTTATATACATGGGTGTTACTTGGAAATTTATTAGAAGGGGCAAATATATAATTACATATCTAACGAAAAGGGTGTCCGCGACCAGGGTTGGACTAGCTCTATAGCTCGGCCTGGGCAAAATAATTTCGAACAGCCTCAATGGAACTTTATAAATAGATACCTAGGAATCCAAATATTTGGGGGTGCTAAAATTGCTGAAATTTAAATTAAATGGTATTTAATTGTAATTACTATAGATTATATAGATCTGAAGAAAAAAAAAACAGGAGTGCTACATTTGAACCTAGGGGTTGCTAAAAACCATATTGCGCCCCCTTAGTTATGCCTATGCTTGCGGCCGTCGTATTTCGCTAGGTTTAATCGACCAAGAACGACAGCTGAACCGGTCACAGCGGATGTTGCGATCGGTAAAATCCGAAATGTGAGAAAAATAACTAGTTTTTAATCTCGTCGCCTCGTGCTGGCCGAAAAAAGTTTCGAAACAAACACGTTACGCGCTGCACGATACTGTGGATACGGATTGTTTCTAATCGAAACGACCGATTTGGAAAACGCATTTCGACTTGTCAGCGGGTTCTGGAACAACGTGAAACCGGAAGCGCATTAAATTCGAACGTGTTTGACATTGTGGTGACCACTGTTACAACCACGTGAAAACCTTTGCGGAGAAACAACTTCTTCGTCGTATCGCGTAAATACACCTGTCACGAGGACACGCGTATAGGCAGTCACTTTTGGCTGTGCGCCGAGGCAGCGGTGTTGTTCCGTCGCAACCGCGTCCCGTGTTCGCTTTAACGCACATCGTCCCACGCGCTACGGTTTCGTTTGTGCCCGTGCACGGTCAGGGTCGGACCGGGCAGTCGGGATACCGGGAGGTGGGCCGCTTTTATTCGTGGGGAAGTTTTTTTAAATTTTTTTTAGGTTCATCGGTTTATGTTCATTGCGTCGACAGTTAAGTGGGACTAGTTAAGTGAGTTACTGCCATAATTTATTGCGCATGTCGATTTGTACATAGTCTTTCTTACATTTAATTTTTGAAATGTTTTAAGTACTTACGTCCGATATGGCTCTACCTAATATCTAACGATGGATTACAGTCCCATTAACACCTTTACCCATTGTATCGACGTTTGCGCGGCGTCTTTTCAGCAGATGTCGGTGAGCTGCTGAGCCTGAGTACTGACTCGATTCGGAGTCGAGTAGCCGTGACAGATTGCCCATTGGACACCGTACATTTAGCCGATTCGCGTCGAGTTACGTGTAGTGATCGGGTCGAGTACCGCCAAATCAGCGACACATGGTCGTTAGCAGTAGTGGCGTATACAGAAAATATTTTCGGGAAGGGCTACTATGGACAGAGTTAAATTACCACTGTTATCTAAGAATTACTAACAAGACATAATAGGTACTTAACTACATTTCATTTACAGAATGTCCCAAAACGATTTGACGTTGGACGCAAATTCTACATAAGCATAAAGAACCATTAAAATATAACATACATTTGAAATAATTTTGAAGTTTTTTTAAAACATTTTGGGAAGGGGGCAGTAGCCCACTATGCCCCCTCCTATATACGCAACTGGTCAGCATACCGAAACCGTTTCTTGGATCACGCGCGATCTGGACGGGGCAGCATGCCGTTTCGGGTTCACGGTTTCCGTTATCGCGCGTACGGCATACCCGCCCAGGCCCTCCGGAAATCTTAACGTTCGGGTCTCGAGCTATATATGCTGTTAAGTAACACAAATCGCTCGTTTGTTAGTTCGTAAAACTCGTACCGGCCCGCGTTAGGTTTCCGAACCCTAACCGAGCTGGGTCGCTAATGCCTGAATCCGGTTAGACTCTGTAGTGCGCGAATTCACTACGTTTCCTTACTGAATTTTAGGGCGCACTATTTTAATTATTCTTATGCAAGTGTATTTATTTACTTTTTTTTTTACGTTAGTATGTCAATGCGATTAATTTTATTATCGTTAATATGGCTTATGGTTTATTTTTATTTTTTTGTTTGATGTTACATTCTCAGTACGTTTGTCTGCTTGTACTCTACCCAAAATAATTTCGTTATCTCGTTTTGTACCGTAAATATGTACCATTTTATCGTATTGTTAGACTGATGTGTCAAAAATGTTTCTTTTCATTTTTTTGGTTATCTAAACGTTAATGTGCAATACATTTTTACGTTACATCGAATTATATTATTTATTTGCATAATTTTTTTTATTGATTTTTCAATACTTATATAAATACAAGTATGTATACACAGTCACATGTTGTGTGATCAATATTATATGATTTAAATACTGATATTTAAGTACATTTTAAACGTATGCCTTAGAGAGTAAATTCACTGGAGACTAATTAAATGTATTACATAGATATGAAATTAACTTAGAGGAGACAAAAAAAAAAAACAATAGAATTATAGCGTAATTTTTTTTTTAGATTCAGATAGACCATTTTTTGAATTTTTAAGAATGAATACTACAATGAACAAAATGAATAATGACAAACAAACAAAAAAGTAAATCATTGTTTAGATGTTGATTAGTTTATTAGTTTATTGCAGTACATCATTTTTATTTGTACTTAGAGAATTTTAATAATGTATGATTTTACATGATTAATTTTATAATAATACAAAACTTGAATAGTTAAAGTATATTTAACGTATTTAAATCCTAAAATTTGACATTAATCAATAAATATTATATGATTTTTAAATAATCATAATCTTCATAATATAATATTCTAATTCAGCAAAGTTTAACTAAGAAATATTTTTTTTTTTAGGAATGTGTCTTAGAAAAGAAGAACGAAACTCAACAAAAAAATGTATAAGTATTTATTAATTCTTCACTCTAGAAATATTATTAATATTTTTCTTTCGATATAACCTTAAGATACTTAATTTTAAATAAAGTGCGATATTCTTAAATACTAGAAAAATATATGGGTGAAATATTAGACTTGTACACTTGATTGAAGGCAAAATATTATTTAAAGATGGGTACTGAAAAATTATAATCTAAAATATACATTTAATTCAATTTTCAGTATGAACTAAGCGAATTTTAAAAATTGAATTTAATGATATTTACTTTATTATTCATATCAATATATGCTTTTGTCGTTAGTCGTTACAGTAAAAATAACTTTATTTTTAATGTTTTTAACGTTTTTAAAAACACTTTTACTTAAAAAATGAGTGGACTAACTAAACTATTTTAAAAGTTTTCAATTTTAGAATTATCGTAATAGAGTACTAATAACATTTGTAACTCATTAATATTCTGTATTAATATTATTTTATCTTATTAAAAATAATAAATATGTTAAATTATTTTATAAATAAATGTAAGAAATTTGTTGTTTCTTTTCAGTTATTGAATAATTTAATTTTGTATAAATAATTTTATACTAAATTAATATTTTTTTTATTATTACTTAGAGCTAACGTTAATAAAATAAATCAGTCTAAACTGAAAGGAAAAAAGAAGATGAATAATAATATTTTATTAAACAAATAAGATCAATTCACGTTAGGCGGAAAAAAAAAAACATAATGTACCTAAAGCATCTGTAAAGTCAACACAATTTATTCAGAAGTATTTTAAAATAATTAAATTATTCATGAGTCGTGTATTATCTTGTTTTAATTTATGGATTAATTAAACAATTGGTTTAAAATTTTTATCTAATCTTCGTCGAAAGTTATAATTATAAATAAAATAAAATACACTACTAGAAAAAAATAAGATGCGTTCAATAATTTTTAAAAATGTAATAATTTTAAAATTTTTATATTGTTTAGAACTCACTCTGGAAGCCAAATTAAAATACCTTCGGAAACGATAAAAACTGAAGATGTAGTTAAAAAACAACAGATGTAAAACAGGAAACTTGCACCAAGACACCTGAAAGTGGGTACGTATTTAGTAACGGTTTTGACATTTTATATTTATATAACATTGATATAAATAATAATATAACTTAATTATATATAATGCGATCACAGTAAGTGGAAATTTAATTTTAATAATTTATCATTTGTTTTCCGTTAATACTTTTTGGTTTTATTATCCCCTAAAATACGTAATTGCTATGGTATATGTATCCATTCTTTATATAATTTTATTTTTATTAATTATAATTTAATTTATTTATGTATACGAAAAAAAGAAAATTTAAATTTAATTAAAATAAGTTTAAAAGTTCAGTTCTTTAGTTTACATATTTACAAAATAGTTTAGAATTTTAGAAACCAAATCTTACTATTTTGAAAAATAGTTAGCTATGTTTTTAATGTATAGAACGCTTATGTGATATTTACACTTGGCACTAAGAATATTTATGAAATTATAAATAATGTTGTTAATTAAACGTGCAACAAGTTATAATATAATTTCGGAATATAATAGGAGCCAATTTTAGAATGAAAATGTACCCGATGAACAGAAGATTGGTGATAACAATAAAAAACTTATAAGTTATGCAAACGTATGCAAAGCAATTAAATCGAAATTTGATACAAGCAGAAATGAACCTATTCTAGAAGATAGAATTTGGTATATATTATTAATGTTAATCACTTATTTATAGTTTTAGTGAAATAAAATAGCAATAATAGATTACATTTCAGACTAAGTACTATATTATAATTAAAGAAATATTTTTGATAATTATAATTATTTGTACACTATTAGAAATGTAATTCTTTAGACTATAAAAGTTAAAGTGAATGTGCGTAATGTTATTCTTCAAAACGGTTTGCTCTCATCGCCTAGGTTCGTTACTTCCCCGGGGAGTACACGATGTTTGATAAATACAATAATTTCATTAATAATATTATTTTCAATAAATTAAAAATTATTTTTAAATATTTTCAAGTTATTTGAAAGAAATCGATGAAAATCTTTTCAACCTGCCCGGAGACATTCCTGTCACTCATTGTGTTGCTGAGGACTTGCGGGTGAGAGCTGGAATCGCCGTGGAATTTAAGTACAAATATCATGCATATGCTCTTGATAAAATTAGTATTGATTTTGATTGCTTTCTAGACAACATTTCGGTGGTATTGGACAATTGTTTGATCAAAATCTGACCGTAGGCGATGTTGGTGTGATTATCAATGACCGTAATGAGACCGCTTTTTACATAATTACGAAGAAATCTAGTGGCGAAAAACCAATCTTGCAAACATTAGGTCTACTCCTTAAGGTCTCTATTGGTAAAAATGAAAGCGATGAATTTAACAGAGTAGGGAATTCCAAATATTGGTTTCGGGTTGGACGGTCTAGATTGGACGAAAATTAAAGAGCTTATTGCAAGTATCTTTGCCTGGATCCTGGATATCTCTAATAGTTTGCATCCCGTCTAAAGTAAGTGTTGGAGATTACCAAATATTTCGAAGTTATTATTTTATCCTTAAACCTTTATAAGATATTCAACCACATACCGCCGCCACTTTTGAAATCATTTATTACACCAAAAGATTTATCGAAAATGGAAAATAAGAGCGATATCCTGCTGTTCGTCGACCTGGAACAGTCAAAAAAGAGTAATTGGACGAACGATATAGTGGATAGAGTAAATGCTCGATATCCATCGTTCAAAGAAAAGTAATTATATTTAAATTTTACTTGCACTGTTTTACTGAAACTTATGAACATCTATTTTAATAATAACAGTAATAATACTATTGGTTAAATGTATACTTGAATCGTTTATATTAATTATATATCTATAATATAAAAATGAATCGCAAAATGTGTTGGTAAGCGCATAACTCAACAACGCCTGGACCAATTTGGCCAAATCTTTTTTTCAAATGTTCGTTGAAGTTCAAGGATGGTTTTTACGGCGAGAAAAATTAGAATTATTGCTGGAAAAACCCTAAAAATAGCGCTTTTCTTTTTCTAATACAAATGATTTGTAACTAAAACGTAGTACTATTAAAAAACTATTAAAAAACTATAAAAAAAACTATTTAAAAACTATTAATTTTATTGCATAAATATTAAACAAAAAAAGATCCCGCAACAGGTGTCAAAACAAATAAGAATGTTGGTTCGAAAAATTATTATGCATATCGGTTGATGATTAAACGCGATCAGGACAAAATTATTCTACGATATCATGAGCTTCGTCAACAATTCATGGTCGAAATGTATGTAAAGATAGAGAGCGAACGATTTTGATACTTGCGATTTAATCAAAAAAAGCTGCGTGCAGAAGATTCTCAAAACAATTGTTAGATATTGGAGATGAGAAAGTTACTACAGATGAAACGGAATGTATAAAATTACCGACCGATTTCTGCATAATCATTTATTCGCAAGATGCTCTCATTGACTAGATATTTTCCAATGTACACAGACAATACACAAATCATGAGTGGCTGGCAGAAAGGGCAATTTCAGTAGTAAAAAATGTGGACGTCAACGAATTGAATCTCAAGATAAACATTTGTTACCAGGAAACATGGTGTCATACAAATCTATAGATATAGTTTGCTATGCTACTGAAGCTGTAAATTATCTAACAGAGTTTTTAAACTCATTGGACTTACCAGGCATGCCATCGCATAATTTACAATTGAAGGTTTGTTCTCCGGTTATTTTACTTCATAATTTGACCTACCACGGTTGTACAGAGGCACGCGATAAGTTGTTAAAAAATTAATGAAAAATGTTATCGAAGCCATAATTTTAAATGGCAAATTCCAAGGTGAAAATATATTATTACCGCGAATCCCTATTATACCCACAGATGTGCCAATACAATTTAAACGCTTTAAATTTCCAATTAGATTGGCATTTGCAATGACTATCAATAAGTTTCAAAGCCAAACAATGTCTGTAGCTTAGATTTGAGCACATCATATTTTTCACACGGATAATTATACGTGGTGTGCTCTCGAGCCATCCAGTTTGTGTTTGCAAAAGATGGGATTACAAAAAATATTGTACACTCTGTTGCATTAAGGGATAGATATTGTTTTTTACTAATATTGTCATAATTAGCGATATATATAATTTTAATGGATCAATTTTAATAAATTATTAAAAAAATAAATGTTTTTATGTTTTTTCATTTTTATATTTCGTCACCATTCATAGCACTCCATATCTCTTTCTTACATTCTTATCCTTACCCACATTCTTACATGCCTATATTTAATTAGTTATTTTTTTCTAGCAAAATATTCTCTAGAAATAATTTATATGACAAAACAACGTTTGTCGGGTCAGCTAGTTATATATTTAAATATATTTGTATTAATATGATGCTAATTGATTCAAAATCATTAAAAGGATTTTAAAATTTAGAAGTTTATTTACAGAAATTCCTGTAAAAATCAAAATATTTATTTTGTCTATCCATAGAATGTTGAAAGAATCTTTCAGAAAGATATCGGAAGTAACCTGTTGTGTCCCGGTGATGTAACCACATATTTGATAAAGAAAGAAAGAATCAATTGCTAGATTACTAGTCAAACAGCATATTACGTTTCACTGAAAAAAGACTTTATGAACATTAAAAAAAGCATCAGAAGTTATAGGAGTTTTTCTTTTCAGAGTGGACCCATAAAACCTGACAACAACTTTAAGTTCATATCAAGAATACTATCAATATTACATTCCGTTATTTACAGTACAGAATTATGGTTATGCGGTAATACGGATCAAACTAAAGACAAAGAAATATACGAAAATTACCGTCGGAATTTAATTAATGAAGCTAGGCTTCTATATCGACCAACAACGAACAGCAATAGACCAAAAATTAATGGTCTGAAGTAGTTTAATGCTTCGTTAAACAATCAAAGGTTGAATAATACTCCAACCAATAAGAATAATCAAAGAATATGGTTAATTTTTTATAAATAAATAATACGAAAAATTACATCCACAACCAATTCAACAGTAAAAGATTTATTACTATTTTATAAGATGTTGAAGCAACATTTTAATCACGATAAACATAATTTTGGCCGTCTGAATTGAAGTGCTCATTTTAATAAAACTGATGCGTTTCATAATGAATTCTAATAACGAAAAAATTAAATATTAATGATCTCATATTGTAATTTTTATAATACTTGTTAAACCAATTAAAAATAATCAATAATTTATCGTATACATTATATAAATAATTATGTTTCATACTTATTATACTTTTCATATTAATAATAATAAACTATATTTAAGCTCGGATTAAGGGGAGGACAGATAGGGCCATGGTCCCAGGTCCACAACGGATATCAAACAATAGTAGGCCCGTGATGGATAGTTGGTTTTTTCGTTTTTTAACTCTTTTTTTTTTTTATCTCATTCAAAAAACAAGTATAAAATAGTATATAGTTTTATGGTTTTGTGTTCAGAGAGTAATGTTTTAGAGGTAATTAACATCGATGATATAATTAAAGTGCTTGCTTTCCAAAAAGAAAGAAAAAATTATTTATATAAATATTATTTTTATTTTTTGTATTAAAAAAAACAAGAAATAAATTTATAAATTAGAATATATTTTGTTTTGTCTCTGAAATATATTTATATCATTAATATTTTTATTATGGTTATGGGTCCCTAAAATTGTTTGGCCTCGGGCACCAAATTATCATAATACGGGCTAGAACGTCATGTTACAAGATAGACGCATTAAATTAAAAATAAAAAAAATCTAAGTATTCTTATTTAACCAAAATTACAGCGGCCCACCGGGGAGAATATTAATTATCGCTTAATTACCTACATATTATTATATAAAATTATTCATTTTCAAACATTATGTTAAATAATGGAAAATTGAAGGTTAAGATTTAAAAAAAAAATTGTATAGTAATAGCTATAACCAGCTGTTTTGTACTTATTTTAAAATAAGATATGTTAAATATCAGAAGGGGCACTGCCCTTCCTGATTTATTCTAGGGGACAATTGCTCCTCCCCAGTTTATGCCTATGGTTATATAAACAGAATGGAAGTATGTTCATATTATACTTGTACACAGTTAAATAATGATTATTCATGAATCATGGTTTTATACGCGATGAAATATTAATGTCTTTCTATATCGTAGTTAACTTGAGTGTAACATAAATGTAAGTTGTTGAAAGGGTGAGAATTAATTTAATTTTGTAGTCGTACCTTTTCGCATTAAATGTGTAGAAAATAATAAATGATAATTATGCAACTAAGTTGTGGACTGCGAATGAGTAAATTATCATTTTGGGGTTTTTTATTTTTCTTTAGGAGAAATAATTATTATTTTTACGAGTATACGATTAAAATTAATGCATTCATAAATTGGCGTACAAAAGGTTTTCCAGTCATGATAGATGTGGTACCTTACATTTCTATTAACACATTTTACCTAAAGTTGTAAATATGATTTTTTTTTTCATATATTAAATGATCGCGGTTGAAAGTATTATTTTTTTTTCTTTTAACAATAAATTAAGGTAGGCAATGTAGTCTTTTTCGGTTTGTAATTTACAACTACAGTTTTCCCATAAAAGTTTTTAAAAATTATTCAAATAATGACTGTTGGAAATCTGTTAGAATGCACATACTATTATAATAACCACTCAAGATTAATGTTTTTAAATTATATCAAGGTTTATTTTCAAGAATAAAATTACTTCAGACTTTTAATTCTAACGATAAATGAATAAAAAAATGTTGTCCAATCTTTCGGATCATGCACATACCTATAATTTTGTTTGTACAGTACATTTTTAGAAGCATTCAAATCAAATGCACTTGATATTTGATACTGTTTCGAAGTAATAAACAGCGCGAGTACACCTATAACGAAAAATACAAATATACAGAATGTCGTGCTTGAGTTTTATTTAAATGATGAAAACCGTTTATATTTTCCTTATTAATTTACAGTAATAATTGCGTTCGTTAAAATATCATTACACCTGCTATAACAATATTCTTATTGTAGGCCGAACAAGAAAACAATTTGTTTCCAAACATTTAAACTTAAAATGAACACATGGTGTGAAGTTTAAATTTTTTTTTTTTTTTTTGTTCGTTTAATGATATTATTATTATTCCTGGGAGTAGATAAAAATATCGTTAAGGGATAAGCTACGAAAAAAATAACCGGTGAGGGTCGACGGTGCCGACAAGAAGTTTTCCGTGTGATTTAAATCACGTGGACGTCAAAAATGACATTTTGTTTATATAATATAATAGAATCGTATCGTTACCCGATTCTTTACACTGCAATACATTAAATGAAACTGTTTGCTCTTGACGCGATTTTCGTACAGCGCAAGCACAATATTATTAAACGGCCAAGCTATATAGGCTACTAATAAATGGACGCTGCAGCAACGGTAAACCATAGTAATATAATGTTACAAGTGCCGGTCGATTACTTCTCGATCTCGTCCTGTTTCGCGTAGGCACAGGCAGGGGTGCGATTTCAATGAAAAAACTGGGGGTGCTGAAGCTCTTCTATTTTTTTTGTTTTCCTTAATGGTTATAGACACCCGTAACCCGTAAAATTAAACAGTTAAGAAAATATTTGGTAAATATTTGAATATTTCTAAATTTAAATTGTTCGCTTTGATTTTATATTTTTACTGCGCATATAACAAATTACTCGTCTGTAAACACAAATGTTTCATCACATGA